CGAGCGTGGCCCTCGGCGGCGGGAGCAGCAGGCGGGAGGGAGGGCAGGGCGAGGGCGGCTGCCGAGAACAAAGATGCTGGGGCAGGGGCTCGGCGGGCGGCGAGGGAACGCTGCCAGCGCCATGGCCGGTCCCCACGCCTTGCCCGTCCTCTTCCCTCACCCCAGGACATCTTATCTGCCTGAAATGGCTGTCGCCTCCCGTTGCTCTTCACCGGCCTCGGGGACGATGGCCAACTGCTCCCCCGGGGGAACGGGGCGGTGAGGCCACCCCGGCCCAAAACGGCCACCCCCCGGCACGGCTCTCGGCTAGAAATAGAGCCGGGTTGCCTGAGAGCAGGAGGGGGTTGCGATGCGCAGCGGGACGGCTGCGCGGGAGAGCGGGAGGTGGGGGAGCAGAGGACGCCGGGGGTGGTGGTGAGATGGAGCAGGGGGACATGGAGGACAGAGGAGGTGCGGGGGGGGGACAGCGAGGCACTGGGGCCGTGCAAGAGGCTGGAGGGGGTGGCTGACGCGGAGGGCAGGGGGACGTGGGGCTACAGGGGCTCGTGAGGGGGAGGCAAGCGAAGAAATGTGGGCCTAGAGGAGACAGGGAAAACAAAGGACACTGGGGAGGAAAGAGACCTGATGGGAAACCTGGAGGAGAGGAGAGAGAGCGTTAATGACGGCTGGGAAGGTGGGGAGGAGGTGGGAGAAGGGGGGGGCGAGACCTGTGGGACGGGGTACGCAGGGACGGAAAGGGAGGAGAGACCGGCAAGGGGGAGAGAGAAACTAATGCTGGGCAAATGTAGGGAAAAAGAGGATGGCCGTAGGGTGGCAAAGGGACTTCCCCTCCTCAGCACCTGAAATGCTGCCTGCTTCCGAGCACTTAATGTCAAGGCTGAGCTTGGCTCCTGAAATCTTTTACTCATTTTGGGGGCAGGTGACTGCCAATAAAGCCCCAACACCAGCATCCCTTATTCCCATCCTTCTTCCCAACTGAATTTTTATTGCTTTTTAAACCGAAGGGGTTTTAAGCCGTTCTGAGATATTATGGGCTCTGACTCATGCCTTGAATACTCTGAGCAATACTGGGTGTGGAAGAAGGAACCAGAGGGGCGTGGGCCCTCTGAGAGGTAGTCTATAGCACGTGTGTCCTCTTAAAACCTAGGTCAGCGTTTGGTTATATTGCCAGATATAAACCTCTGTAATCCTAGAAGCACTGACTTGATACAGCGTCTTATATGCGGTGGCTTTGATACCGCTTGCATCTCACCTGCTTTCCAGCGCTAAATAATCATCACGGGGAGAGAAGTCACAAGGCTGATGAGGGGCTAGAGAGACGCGAGGAGTCAGGGGAGGGTCGCTGCAGGGAATGGGATGTCGAGGAGGCAGCTCCGGCATCCGGCATCCAGCCGGAGTGGAGAGGAAGGCGGTGCTGGATGAGTAGAGAGGCTGTACCGATGCCCAGACCCTGAGGTTACCTTACTGCATTCATTCTGAAACCAAGGAGGAAATAGAGAACCGCTGACCATGCAGGGAGGAGGGTATTAGTTGGTTGGGATGGCCCTGGAAATAGTGATTTGCGTAGAGGGTTGGTTACAACCTTAATTTTGAGGGCTCTGCTTGTTGCATCTGACTGTGCGTTTCTCCTGATGCATTTTCCTTTGTCCTGTTTCTGTAATTATCCTCATGTCAACCCTGCTCTGAGGATTATTGGTCAGTAGGAAGCCTCCTAATGCCCGCTCCTCCTTGGCAGGGGAATACCCATGCCCTCGATTAAAGTGAAACTCCCCGAATGGTGACAGAAGAAATTAGATCTATATTCCTCAAAGACACTCCCTCGGGCGAAGTTTCCCGACCCCCACCACGGCAGCACTGCCACCCTGCCCCTTGTGTTCGTTCTCAATATTCTCTTTGTTACAGCCACCTTTATACACAGCTCAGGGCTCCCCGGGGAAGGCAGAGGTGGTTTGTGTTGGAAAATCCTCATGCCCGTGTCCCAGGCGAGTGCACCGACCCCATCCCACTGCAGTCTGTGCCCAGTACAGGCAGTCCCTGTTCCAAAATTGGGGTGAGGAGCCAAGTTTAATAGGTAGCGCTTTACATTAAAAGACTGCTTCCCCAAGATGTTGGGTAGTCTTTAGCAGAAGGTGGTCCCTCTAAATGATTGATTTTTGAGAGTCCCTTGACTGGTGGCTTAAGAGCAGCATTTATTCGATCTATAGACCATATAAGATACACAGGACCCAATCACCAATAACAACAAAAAGTAGAAGTTATGAGATTGGGTGTTCCCTTTGCATGCAGACCTCTGCCAGCCTCTGCCCGCACTCACAGATGCGTGAATGCACGTGAAAAAGATAGTTTGCAGGTCATTTCGATGTGCAGGTTGCTGCTCACCAGCCTGGTGTGTACAAGCTGGATGGCACCCATGCATACCTTTTTGGAAAGCAGGCCTCAAAGGGAGGTATATGTATGTATATGTATATATAATATATATATTTGTATACATACCGCTGTCTATGCAACAATGGCATTTTTTCGAGGAGCAAGCTAAGCGACCTCCTGAAGCCTAGCCCTTTTTCGGTACTCCCTGCCATTACAGTAGCCACCGACCACCTCCCATTAGCACTCCCTGCTCTGGTGCTTTGTGCCGGAGCACCGTTAGCAGCTGCCGGGTACCAAAGGCTGCCTCCCCTTCCCGCGGCACACCCTGCCAGTGTGAGCTGACACCGTTGGTGCCAGTCAGCTTGGAGGAGCACTGCTCCCCACACTTCCCACTCCCACCAGTCTGTCACCACTGCCGTGTGGCAGAATTACTGCCTCCTGCTCTCCAGCACATCCTAACACACAAAGAGCTGTGCTGCTGCTGCCAGCGCTCAGCTGCTCTGCGTATGCGAGAGAGGGAGGGTGCCTTGGAAAGGTCAGTGCAGGGAAGAAGGGCGATTCTGTCTCCTTCCTTTAGGGGCTGTATCCTGGCATCACAGTGAAACCTTGTCCTGCCGGCTGATCTATATCCATGGGGACTGCAGCCAGCCAGGGTGCCCCATGTCGTAGGGCTTCCCGGGATGGTTTAGTACCATGTGGAGGTCCAAACAGCTTCCCCTGCCTGCTCCCCACCTAGCGAAATCATCCCAAATTGTGACAATTGAATTTCTTGATTGATTGTGACTCCACTCTGGACTCTTCCCTTGTTTTTGTTCCTGGCCCAATTTCACTGGCAGCTTTAGCAAGCAGCACAACAGCAGCAGCCGCCACTGCCCTGGCTACAGCAGGATCCTCCCTGGAGCACTGTTTAATTTATCTCCCACATCCCCCGTGCCCAAGGCAGCCCGGGGCTGGAGCACCACGACTCTGCCCCCTCCAACCGCATTAGCCCCGGGCCGATCTCGTCACCCCTGTCACCCATCGCTGACACTAACTCAACTTGCCTGCACTGTTGTAGGGGGCAGATGGACTGTCGGAGCCCGAGGGCATCTCTCTGAAACGCGTGGCTGTGGTGGAAGATTTCTTTGACATCATATACTCGATGCATGTGGAGAGCTCATCGGAGCCGGGCAAAGCACCCAAACATGCCGGGCAGAAGAAAACCTACCGAGCGGTGAGACTCCCCCTTCGCGTGCCCCGGGCAGCGAGGGGATGGGAGCGAAGGGGGCAGAGGGGCCGTGGGAGTGGGCATCCCACGGGGACAGGGACGGGGATGGGAGGGCAGGTAGAAGCAGAGCCGCTGGCGGGAGGCAGAGGCGAAGGAGACTCCTGTTTGCCTGTGCGGGGAGGCGTGAGAAAGGAGTCATTTAAAGGCAGAGCAGCTGTGCTCGGGAGACGGGAAACAGGGCTGCAGTGGCAGCGCAACGGTACGGCTGCTGGGAGAGGAGAGACCAAGTGAATCATACAAAGACAACTGTACATGTCTGGGGGGAAAAAAGAAAAAGAGAAATGCTTGGTATTACTGATGGGCAAGGAGATGTTTGCCCACTCCCCTGCACGCTCTGCTCTGTGCCATCTGCCTCCCTGTCTCCCTCAGCCAGAGGGAAATGTCTCGTGTGGGCCTTGAAGGGCAGGAGCAGCCAGAAAGGGGGACTGGGGCACGGCCAGAGCCCGCCTCTCTTCCCCAGCTGAGTGGATGCTCTCGCCACCAGCCCGTGGCTGGGTTTGTTCCGTTACAAAATGGAGGCAGGCACCGAGCTAAGTCTCGTCAGGTGCTCCATGAATGCTGAGAACCAGCTCTATCCATCCTGAAACCACTCTAGTTAGGTCAGGAATAATTTAGCTTGAAGTGTGCTTCTCCAGGGAGCTCGCTGTTTCTCCTGACTCTGCACAGCCCTTCAATGCAAACATTTGGGCTCTCCTTTTACAAGAAGAGCTGAATTTACTGTCCAAAACCAAGCTGCACCCTTGAATCCCACAGCCCTAAGGACCAGGTCGCTTAGAGACAGAAGTGGCTGGCTGGCAGCTCGTGTCTCTGGTGTATACATCATCTTGGAGAGGTCTGTGCGGGCTGCCCTGGTCTCTGCGATGATGCTTGAGATTATGCAGGGCTTGGTGCGCTGCCGGAGCCGGCTCAGGGGTGGAGTCTGTCCTGCCTGTCCTGCCTGCGTATGTCGCTGGATCCATCCACGGCTGTTCGTGCTGGCGGTGCGGGAGGGGCAGCCCAGTGCCCTGCAGCCCCCCCCCGTGTGCGGCAGGACCCTCCGGGGAGCCAGGCTCTGCGCCCACAGCTCGTGGCACCGCTCGGCACCCTGCACACCCGACTCCTGCCCCTGCGGCAGAGCGAGGGGCCAGGGGCCGGGGCACACGCTGACCCTTCCCGGCCAGGAGCAGGTGACCTCTTTATAGTCGGGATGGGGGGCAGCCCCACCAGCACAACCACAATTCAAAAACTGCCCCCTCATTTCCCCAGCAGACCACTCCGACCGTCCCCTAATTCCTTCAATTCAGCTCTCTGGAGGACTAATCTGTGCCCTGCACAGCCCCGGGGGAGCAGGCTGGATCCGTCTGTTTTCCCAGGCCTGCTCGCAGCAGTCAGAGAGCTTCACGCTCCACCCCTCCGTCTCCCTCTTGAGCTGAGATCATCACATTAGCAGTGTGTATCCCCTCCTGACCTGGCAGGACGCTGCTGGCTGGGCTGGCTGGCCTCGCTCATGCCCTGTCTCCCTGGAGCGCCTTTGCAGCCGGGTCCGGAAGGTGAAATGCTGCATAGCACACCCCGCGCCACGGCTCGGGTGCACAAAGGGACGCTGCTGGGCGGTCAGCTCGGGGGGCTTTGGTGTGCCCTGCCGTTTCTCTCCCTCTCCCTTTCCCCACCGTTTCTGATTAGAGGCACGGGAGAGTTTGCCCTTGTCCGTGACCTCCGGAGGGAGGCAATCAGAAAAGGAGTTTGGATGGGAGATAACTCATCAAGGAAGCTGTCTGCTCTGCAGAGCATCAAATCAGCTGAGAAATAACAACTGTATCACTAAAATTAGCTGAACATTTGCAGCAGAGACCGTGGGCTTGCTGGAGCAAAAGACGCAGGGAAACTGGGCTCAGCCCCACGGGCAGCACAAAGGGACAGTTCCCTGCCTGCGCCACAATACCACGTTTGCCACTGGCAATTTTCAGGCCCCTAATTTCAGTGTTTCTGTGGGAGTCCCTAGAGCTTGTGCGTTGATAAATATCGCACAGAGGCAAGGGCTGAGCCGGGCAGCCGCTCAGTCACAACGGAGCTCGGTGGGGCTGTAGGTAGATAGAAGGAGAATCCCATGAGGACCAAGCAGTGCTGCATCCTCCATTTGAAGGGCTGGGACAAGGTCCCTGCCTGAACTTTCCACCCATCTGGCATTAGCGTGTATGTAAAACCTCGGGCTCTGCTGCCGCTCAGTGGAGATAAATGTCTCTCCCTCCCACCGCAGCGTCGGGTCATGGGGCTGCTTTAGCCATCATCAAGCAAACCCTCTGCCCTCTGCCCCATTGCCCTTCTTCTATAACGTTATTTTATTCCAAGCTTAAGCATCACCCTTTCCTGTAGGGTAGAAAAATGCTTGGAATTTAGGTATTTTTAATTTTCGTCAACGAAATAGGGTGGGAGGATGATGCCCACTGGCTGGAGGACGGGGATCAGGATGTCCTGGGCTGCCCTCCTGGCTCGGCCCCGTCACCAGCCATCGCTCACGAGGTGTCTGGTTGCAGCCCTGCTTCCCGTTCCGAGCCCCACTTCTGCTGGGCTCGCAGCCCTGAGGACTGGCACAAACAATTGAATTTCTGTCTGCTTTATGACCCCACTTGTAAGTGCTGTGACCCCTGCTGGGGTCACGGCCCCTGGTTTGGGAACCGCCGTGCTAGGACAAGTCACTTAGACCAAACAGGATGGGTGATTAACCGTAGGAACCAACCCCAAAGTAAGAGGTGGGCTCTCCACCTCTTAATGCCTTCCAATTAAGACCAGATGTCTTCCTGGAAGATGTTTCAGGCAAACCACAGGCTACTGGGCTGCAGGAGAACCTGGGTGAAGTTCCCCAACTTGTGCTGCACAGGTCAGACTCCGTAATTTGATGGTCTCTTATGGCCTTAAAGAAATCTACATTAAAATTGCCTTATTCCTTCTCCAAATAACCTAGTCTTGATCTTTAGAAATACTGTAAAATTGCTGCTGGCAGGGATTAATTGGAATAATAGGACTTTGTGATAGCCAGGCACCTTCTGTGGGTGCTTAGGTCTGGATATAGTGTTTAACTTCAAGCATCCGAGTTTTAAATATTTATCTATAGCTTTTCCTGATCTGTAAAATACAAATATCGCACAAAGGTTCAGGAGACTTAATTCATTACTGTTTGTAAAAATGTTTTCAATTCCCTAGATAAAATATGTCACAGAAGTGCAAAGTATTATTAACAGTAATTGATTGTCATTGTGGGAAAAAGTGACCTGCCCTTACAAAAGATTAATGGATTCTTCAGGTTACTGGTGTGATGGTAATTAACAATGCAAACAGAGCTGACGGAGACCTTACTTTCTCATTTGATTCTTACACGTTCATAGCTTTGCTCTTCCCAGACTCCGAGGAGGAATGGAAAGGAGTTTCTGGGAAGGTACGGCTATACAGGGAATCCAAAAGTCTGTTCATTTACATCTCGGTGCCTCTCTGATACACCAGTTACCCTCCCATAATGTTCCTCCATCAACAGTTGCTCCGGAGGGAGGGATGCAAGGATCCCAGGACTGGGCTGAAGGGAACGGTGTGTTGCTGTGAGTCGTTGATGTTCTTGGCTAGGCTGAGCAGGCGAGGTGGGAGGGTGCCCGTGGTCTCCTGCGCCCTCCACCCGGCTCTCCGCTAGTCATTCTCGCTTGCCCAGGACATACAGCCGTCTCGTTGTTTTCCCAGATTGCAGAGACCTATGCTTTTCTCCCGAGAGAAGCTGTGACCAGGTTCCTGATGAGTTGCACCGAGTGCCAGAAGAGGATGCATTTCAACTCCAACGGACTGGAGCCCAAAGGTAAAGGCAAATGACTTCTGCCAGCAGAGCTGACATAGCATTTCGTACCAGCATGGTATCACAGATAGCTGTTAGGATACTGCCTCATCGATGAGATACTTCTTAACCTAACGGTTTTCCTAACCGGTGTTATTTTTCATGCACTTTCATAGCCAAGTTGAAAGAATTGCTTAAATCTGGTTTGTCTGTCACTGTTTTCAGCTTAGAGAGCAGAAGCAGTCTGGCTTTCTTTCCGAGCTTCCCCAGTGCAACCATACAAAGCGTGGGTCAGAAATATTGCAGATACGTCTGCAATCAACCCGAAATCATATGCGGGTGGAAACTTCGATTTCTGAAAAAATGTGACCTAAAGTTTTTCCTTTAAAGTATTAATTTTGTAATGAAAGACACTGAGTATGTCTGAATAACTGAAGTTTCTGATAAAGAAGTAATTTGCAGTAATTAATAGATATGCATGTCATGATCCTATTTTTGATAATGGAAAGTATTCTGGTGATCAAAGTTATATTATGCCTATGTATACAACCAATTAGTGTGGCCATTGTGGTGGTTGGCTCATTAAGGTTCTTTTGTAAACAGAACCAATCTGCAGCTCCTAGACCTAAAAGATACAAGTGGCGCACAAGATGGGACCAGGTTTTCTTCCAGAGTAAATGGTTACAGTTGATGTTTGTGTGTTTTTTTCTGAATTACAGACTTATTTTCATGATCCAGCGCAAAGCATCAAACTGACTCTGAGAGGTTTCACCCAACAAAATTTCTTATTTAAAAAAACCTAAGCAAACTGCAGAGAGTTAGTCTGTTTCAAAACTGTTAAGGCAAACAGGCTCATTTGGCAGGTCTTATCAAGCAGAGAAGTAGAATTAAATGAACAAAGGACCCAACAATAGAAAATTTCTAGTATTAAATACCGATTTCCGACTGTTTACTGCTAGGAGCAGAGCTACGGACAGCCCAGAGGTTCTGTTTAAGTGGATTACGTGTGCCAGCTATCCAAAGCTAGTGACTGAAATGCTTTGTACTTGTTATATTTTTTAGAAACTCTCCCAAATAATCCTATGTGACATTTAATAGCCTAAGCTCCATTACCACAGCACTTCCCACTCTGCTGGCTAAGGGCCCGATCCCTCTTTCCAATTAGGTCAAGAGAAGTTTTGGCCTTCGGCCTCACTGGGAGCAAACCTGACCTTTACACTGATTGCACTGCATCCATCACGGGTGACATTCCAAGCACTGCGGCTGCAGCAGTCGGCTCAGTGGATGGGAAGGGCGATGGGATGAGTCAGGCCAACAAGGATGTCGCCTGTTGGCTTGACCCAAACCAGGACACTTCTAAATGCCTGGCACTAGCCGAGCTGTCTGTCCTGGAGCTCGGGATCCCTTTTCAGGAGGGATGAAAAGGGTCATTGTTCCCTCAGGGGCTCCCTCCTGCCCACCCAGCATCTCCCTGTCTTCCATGCCTCTCCCAGAGACAGGGCAGCCATCCCAGCTCAGAAGCAGCTCAGAGAAGACCAGGTGCTGAGTATCCTCCCCAGAGCGGTCCTAGCTGTGGAAACCATGATCAGGGCTGAGATCTGGCTGTCCTGAGCAAATTTATAAATGAATATCAATTATTTTCATAAAGCTTTCCCCCTTAGTAGGTCTCTTAAAAATAAGTCAGACAGGAAAACAAAGGATCCCTCACATAAAAAGTCCTGCTTCTTACCCACCAGGAGGGACAGAAGTGCCTTTCTGCTGTGAATAGTACCTAAATAGTGACTAAGTACCTGTGAAAATGCATAGAGTAGATTAGATAAGGTAACTTTTACTGGGGAGGAGTGTCTGATTTCACTAATTCAGGAATTTATCAGGAGTAAATCACCTAAAAAAACATTGGGGTCATAGAAGAATTACCTAGGTGTATGCCCATGCATACGCACATACAAGCATCTATAGGTAAAGTTTAACCCAGTAAGATAAAAAATTTGAGTCATTCCCATCTCTTTGTACTTCTTTTGTCCATTAAACAAATCTCAACATGTTTCATTTGTGATCACAAAAATCCTTAATTAAACATATCTGACATCAAACCCTGCAGGGCACCCACATAATTCATAAAAGCAAATTGTCTTGCTCATGGGAAACTTTGAACATCACTGGACTTCACTGTGATCTCTTTACACTGTTATTAAATTAGGACTAATTCCAGTAGAGTTATACAAGTATGGAATTAGGATTGAAACCATTTTACTTTAAACGATTCTGCCTGTTCCATCTGTATGTCCAACACAGGGAGCATGTGATATAGATAACTTTTTGAAAAATGAGCTAAAGAATTCCAGTAGCCCCCTCTTGTGACGTAAGATATGAGGATTGTTCCTGTGGTGTCCCCCAGGCCTTTTAAAACAAAGGTTTTCTTTCTTTTCCAATTAGCTTAAGAAAGAAAAAGGTTTGGGTTTCTTAGGCTCAAGCTCTTATCTGTTGCAGTTGCACAAATTCACAGTAAATTTGTGGCTGCTAATGGGATTATTCCAGATTTACATCAGGATGGTTTCAGGCAGAATCTAAGCACCAAAGAAACCCATGTCCTGCTTCCTCCCCATGTGAGGATGCTGAGGTGCTTCTGTTGAGCCTCATTCATTTCTGCAGCACCGAACTATTAAGTATCGGATGGCAGGAGAGCAACGTACCATCTTCAGAGGTCTGAAAGGCTCACCTCATCCATGCCTGTGCTTCAAGGAAGGAGCAGCTCTATCTCTGCTAATCTCGGCAAATGCTTTCCTAAACTCTTCTTAAAGACTCAAATATTGATGACCCCAGCCAGCCTGGGTAGGTGTCGGATTTTGTTCCTGGGAGCTGCTTCCCCTTTCACCGCAGAACCAGACTGTGACAAGCACCCCTTGCACTGGGATTTTACCATCTTTTAATCACAAAGTAGCTTCCTTGCACAGTAGAATAATGGGTTATTTTGGGTGCTTAACGTATAGAGATGTAGAAGTACTCTTAATTAATCTGTAGTTCGAAGCATGACAGAGACCACTGACATGCAGCCATGAGAAAAGAAGGGAGGAATTAGTTTACAAGGTTCCTAAAAGCTTTGCACTTCCATATTTGAGCGAGCTGGTGGCCTGAGTAGCTCTGGCTACCCTTTCCTGTATCCACAGGCAGGAATACTTCAGCTGCCCAAGGATGAATTAGATGGACCTGGAACAAAAGCATTGTATTTCCATGGCCGCAGTTAGCATCTTGGTACAGAAGATTTGCAAGAACCTATGTGATGTTTAAGTCAGTTACAGACAGTTTTTGGGTCAGGTCACTTCTTAATCAGACGTGATAGATCTGGTATTTCCAGAGGTGTGAAGCATCTTCAGGTCTGCTGAGTTTCACTGGGATTTTTTGGATATTCAGCATTTCTGAAAAGCAGGCCCATTGTGTTTGGGTTGATGGGTTTTCTAAGGTGCTGTAAAACATTTTGTGAAGGCTCTTTTTCAAGGGGCTGTGTCAGAGGTGCCTGTGAAACCAGTGACCCCAGAAAATGCAAGCCAGCCAGGGAGATTCAGAGGCAGGAATGGAAACCTCCCACCATCGATTCACCTTCAGCTCCTGGAAATCCTTCTTCCCCATCCTTTGTTGCTTAAGCTCCCTTTCCAATGGACACCACACATCCTTCAGAGTGTGCTGGAAGGCCAGATTAATTCTCCACACTTGCATCTGCCTGTGCTGAGGGCAAAGAAATCTTCCTTTTAGCCAGCAGCCATCCCTGTGAAACGGCAACTTTCCTCTTGAACAAACCCATTGCATGAGCCTGTATATTCAGTGTTAGAATAGATAATTCTAGCCATCTTCGTGTCCTATGTGGAGAGCTTGCAAGCTCCACAGTGCTGATGGCAGAGCTGACAAAATCATTGAGAATTTGCTTTATGGGGACTCTTCTGGTCTAGCTAGACAGAACGATCTGCACGAGTGGTCTGAATCTAGACTGATCTCTGGAGCTCAATATGATGCAGCCAGAGGAATCAACAGGAACAATTTAAATTAAAGATCTTTAAAATTAAGTTTGTGTTTTAATGAGGGTGTTAAAAATAGTCTTCATCACCAGATAGAGATACTTAATAAGTTGCCTTAATGTTAACTCCTACCTGAGGGAATCCCAGCAAAATTGGCAAGACTTTGCAATGCTAAAGCAAGCTGCAAATATATTCTTGTTCGTCAACCTCTGCATAAATCCCATTTGCATAGAAGTGCTTCTGAGGCATCGGCAAGACTTGGTTTCTTCCTCTGCTACATTCTAGTTTGGTAGACTGAAAAATTATATATTATGTGTAGTCTTTTCCGCAGGTGACAGCAATGCTATTTTTTTTGCAAAACAACATCTGTTCTGTAATTATGTTCTTGGTGGGGTCGTGTTCTTATAGGAACCTTAGCTCAGCAGGCACCAGCTCTCACTAGGGATTTGAAGTGCTTCTAAATACATATGCTTAACGATTGTGAGAACACATTGTAGGTTTGTGCTTCCACATCCCTGTATCTAAATAAAGTTTTTCCTCTGTTCTTCAGAGAGTGAACCACCTTCCTCTTTGGTTTCTGGGATCATTGACTACAACATGCCCCTCACCTCTACTTATTTGAAGCAAATGAAGCTGCGGGTAATGAATTCACAGGAACAGGTGAGTTGCGCTCCGGGCGCAGGGCAGTGCGAGGTGCAGAGCAGGTTTCTGCCTGTGCTGAATGGGTGAAGGGAGTGACTGGTGCTTGGCACATTGATTTTTGGAGGATGCTTTTGGAAGTGGCTGGTTTGTCCAGGCGGGTCAGGCTCTGACCAAGTACAGCGAGTGTTGGTGCATGAAAGTTGGGAGGGCAATGTGCCTCTGATCTTCTGGCTCAGAGAAAGCAAATAGGGCTACTTCAGAATTGTGTCAGTGGAGAGGAGCGAAGATGGAGTCGATGCAGTTTATTCCTTAGAACAGTCTGCTTGTTCTTTAGATGCACAATTCTTCTAAGAAATTGTCTTAAAAATGAATATGGCAAATAGGGATTTGTTTCTTTACCTCCTCCTAATTGCCTGGGAGCTTTAGCAGACGGGGTCTGAAACCCAGACCTTGCTTCAGTTGCTCCGGTGCTCTCTTAAAGTGGTTGGCAACTTGAGGAAGTTCGACTGCAGCCACTCTGCTCATGTCAAAGTGGGAGAAGGCTCAGTTGTTTTGATGAGACTGTTAAGCCACTGGATTTTGATTTGGGAATGGATGGGGCAGACTGCCACAGGATAATACCCAGGCTGTGCAATTTTCTGAAGTTCTGCAGCTGCAGAATTAGTTATGGGAACCTCTGTGCACCATGGAAACAGTCTATAAAAAGAAAAGTATGTTTTACTTGCTCCCCACAATCTGCACTGGAAGCCAGTGCTGGATTTTCTTTCCAGCACACTGAAACCTGAATCTGATTTCCTACATTACTGCTAGTTGCAAGAAGTGAAAGAGTTTGCATTGTGCAGTGGTGGGAAACATTGCTGATAGCTTGAACTGTGAAGTTGCACCCAATGAGTACTTTTATCTAGTGATGCCCTAAAAGGACATTGGTTAGAGCATCCCTTGCCAGGGTGTAAAATGTCAGATGTGGGTTTGCTGTCAGGAGCTGGAGAGATACCAAGCTCCTCCACCGCTTCAGCAGTGAAACCTTCTTGCTGGAGGACAAAATGGCATCTGATGGGAAGCACTTCTGTGTTTTGGAGCTTTTTTCCTTTGTGCACATTGGACGTTTGAGTGGGTTTAAGGTTTTGTTTGCAATTGGTTATGTCACAGCTTTTGAAACGTGAAAGGCTGCCATGTGCCAGGTTTTGCACTTGGGCTGGGTGGGTAGTAGAACTATGGACAGTTCTGTGGCGTGGTTGGGCTGGGCTGAGCTGGGCTGAGCTGAGCTGAGCTGAGCTGGACTGGGCTGGGTTGAGCTGGGCTGGACTGGGCTGGACCGGGCTGGGCTGGGGACATGGAGTAGATGAATGCGCCGCTTTGTGGCATCTGATGTCTGCTTCAGGACCACTTTTGGATAAATGGGGTCGAAAGCTGACATATTCCAACTGCCTTTGGCTTGTGCAAAGTGTTTGCTGGGTCTTGGTGCAACTCCTAGCAGAGAGGCGTTGAGATTGCAGACCCTACCATTGTCCGTACCGTTGACTACCAGCCTGCTCTTCACCCAGGTTAAGGACTCAGTGGGCTGTGAAGGCTAGCTGTGCTTTTCAGCATGTGGGGCGGTTCTTTCAAGTTAAGTTTGATGTATACAAAAGGACGGTCTGAGAGGTTTGTCTAGTTAGCATTTATGCATTTTCTACCAATTCCTCTTGGCTCCAAAGCTCTGCTCAAGAGAATTGTGCTATGAAGCTTGATTAAACTCCTGTACCCAGTTACTACAGGTAGAAAACTGGACTTGCAGTTTGATTTTATTTCCATAATAAAAAAACACCCAGAAGCTGGCAGGCTTTAATACTGAATCTTGAGTTCTGAAGCTGCATGCTTAGGGATGCTTGTTTTGAGAACCTTGGTTGGTAATTTAGAGATTTGAGAAGTTTATAGCCTGAATTTTGGTATAGCAGTTTGCACTGGAGCTGTCACTAGACAGATAGATACAACGTGCTGCTAACATGAATACTCTTGAAGCTCGCTAAGATCCGAATAGAAGCATATGTCATACGGGAACAAAAAAGGGACCAGCTGAGGCAACCAGCAGTTGTTGGTTTAGATCATAAATCAAACGGCTTGATGTTATTCCCTGCCTCTAAAGTTTTTCTTTTCCTGAGCTCTCATCGGTATGTTGTGGTGCAGCTTTCTAAGCTTTTCAAGCTATAGCAGCCAAGGGAAAAACCTATTTGGAAGAAGTAAAATTTGCCGTTCAGTGTGTTACTGAAGCTGATTCCTGAGAGCAAAATAACAAAAGATCAGTCTTATTTCTCAGACTTCTGAAGCATTAAAACTTTCCATCAGATCTGGAGGTAACGACAGTCTGGAGAGGATACAGGTGGTTGGACCTGGTGGAGAAAATCCAGCGGGACTTGGGTGCCATCGGTTCCGAGATACAGGACACTCCCCGGCTTCCCCTGGGGAAACAAGTGCCACGCTCCTAAGGCAGCTGTGGCTGTACCTGAGCTGCTAACGCTAAAGTCTGTGTGAAGACAATATGTGTAATAATATCAATACCAGGCTTCAGTTCCCTCCACCAAGCATTTCCCTGCTACTTTTTTCCTTCTTCATACTTTGCAGTGGAAACACGACAGTACCACCCTTTTTTCCTGCATGGTCCTGGCAGTCTTTGTGGAGCATGGGCTGTGAAATATGGGCTACTGCTCTCCCTCTCCCCAGGGAGGGAGCTTTAGGGTCAGGGACTTGCAGCTGTTGGGGTTCCAGGTGTTTACAAACTGCAAAAGTCCTCTAAAGATGATAGAAATAATTCTGACTTTGCTACAAAGGCAAAACAGGAAGAAAATACAACCTGCTTTTAAAGTTTGCACTACACAAATATACACCGCATGGTTTTTGTATATCAACATTTACAAAATTACATTGGTCCCTCCTTAGCTCAGCTTTGCTGCCATGCCACCTTACAGCCTTGCACTCACTAACATTTGATGGTGATAATAGAAATAAATTAAGCAACGGACTTGTGTTCGACTTGGCTTTTGCCAAAAGCAATTACTTGTATGCAGCAGCACCAGGAGGAACTTGCTTCACTTGGGGTAACAATGAATGAATTTATGCCAAAGTGGCCTTTTAACTTCATTATTCAGGGAAAAAAAGTGTGCATGTAACTGTAATTTATTAGTGCTGCTAAGCACATTAGTATTAGGGCAACAGTGTCTCCAGAAGGAAGCACAGCCAGAAGAACCTTAGAGAAAGCATTTTATCTCTGCTTAGGGACAAAAAACAGTTGGGAGAGGAGCTCTTTACGTGGTTGCTCACAAAATGAAGAGTTCCTGCAGAATATATTTCAATGTATTCCTTGGAGTCAGTACATTTATTTTGGCATGATGGAAGACAACTGTGACCCATGTTGCTTAAATTGGGTTCACTAGAACATGCAGGAGCTTCTGGGGTGTGAGTCTTCCTTCATTCCCATTGTATACCAATTCTCACATGTGTGAGAAAAATCATGCCCCTTACCCTTTCCAGAGAGTGCTGGATTAGCCACATTTCTGGCTATCTACTGAGGCATTAAAGCATCTCTGAACTTCTGGCCTTCCCAATCTAGCAGCAAAAAGGAATGAAGAGAAGATATTTGATATTTATCTATAATGATCCTTCCACCTCATTTTCAAACGCTAAATATTAGCATTTTAAAATGATCGGTTATTCGAGTTTATTGCAGTCATTTTCCAGACAATCTTTTCTGTCTTATTCAAACGCAGCCTTGGATTTATTTTTCACGCCACACTGTTGGGCATGATTTCGACTGGTGGCTGGTGGAATATGAAGATTTTAAAAGAACAAATCCCAGCACTGAAATGCCAGGCTCACTCTCTGCTCTGGAGATGTTGCTGCTACCTTGGCAGATACAGTCTAGGGCCGGGTAACCAGGTTTAAATGATACAGAAACATTTTCAGAGGTTGCTTCAATGACTGCTGACAGAAGGTCATGCAATCAGTGAATGGCAGGAGCTGCTCTTGGATGGGAAATAACACAAGCGCTTTTCTTGTTGCTATGGCTTTGCTACACTGACTTGTAAGTGTTTGAGAGGGACAGAGCCTTGTCCTGCACCGTCACATGCTCCATCCATCCAGTAATTTCCCTGTAAACCTGGAGTGTGTGACGGTGCGTGGATGTGAAGTGGTTTTCAAAAGATGATTTCAAGCAATGTTTTAACTCAAACAGCAGGGTAGTCCTGCAAGAGGGGGTGGAGGGGTTCAAATCCCACAAATGTACAGGGAGCTGGCTTCATCTAATGCAGGTGAGGATCAAGCCTCCTCTGCAGGATTTGGGAGCTCACGGAGCCTCGTGACCAGAGGCTGGTTTGCAATGTTAAGTCCTCCTTCTTCCACTCGCCCTTCTCCTTGGTCCGCCCCTTATTGTGTTTGCTCACTTCAGTGTCTCAGAAGGCTCCCGTATTACCAGAACAGCTAAGACGCATCTTCCCCTGGCAGCTCGCTTTCTTCCTTCTGCTTTGGATCCATCTCCAGGCTAATCCTGGGGGTGCAGAACTGGCACAGGGGAGGCAGCAGAGGCAGGGAGGGGAGTGAGAGGCTGCAGAAGAGGGCACGCCAGGTTTTCATTTTCAGTCTCTAAGTTCACTGGTGAGAATTGTAGATATCTCATTTCATGTAGTCCAGAAACCAGAACCAAATCTGGCAGAGCTGGCAGCTGCTGTGTGAGATCTGGGACCTGGATTTATCTGTTCGAGTGCTTAGAGAAGGGATCCCAAAGAAACGCTCTGTGTGTTCATAGACGGGCAGAGAAGGCAGAAGCATGCAGTCAGTATTTGGAAGGAAGTGGAATGATGCATTTGCATCACATGAGGATGATAAGGTACTTCCCAGTCCATTAAAGAGGGTGTGAAACATCTCCAGGAATAAATACCTCTAAATCAACTTGACGAGATAACTCATTCAAGAGGCTTTTCCTTGACTTGAAAAGATCTTTGTTCCCTGATGTTAATTTTTAAGACATTTTTGAGCACTAGAGAAGT